GCACCATAATTGTCCCATAATCATAACGTCACGCCTAAATAAACTGCTCTTTTCATTTCTACCTTGTCAATCTTTGCTATTTCAAACTTTTACTCATAAAAAAAAAAAAAAAAAAAAAAAAAAAGAAAGAAAAATAATGACGACAATATTTATACTGTGTGAGAATCGATCGAAAATTTTGACGTTCCTTGGTAGAAAATTAGAAAAAAAAGAGAAAAAGAAAAGAAAAGAAAAGAAAAGAAAAGAAAAGAAAAGAAAAGAAAAGAAAAGAATAGAAAAAGAATAAAAGAAACATCTATTGCAAAAGGAAAGGAACGATTAACGATAGTAAACGCGATTGATATACGCGATTGTAAACACGATTGTAACATCGCTTTGGCGGATGCGACTAGTGATTTTTCTATCTTTATTTTTCTCTCATTTGATCATGCGTTCTCTTTAATACCTTACTTGTATATTTAGTCATGTGTCAGGGACCTTGAGTGATAGATAAATACGCGTCTATAACAGTATATATAATAAAATATAAAAAACTAATATATCAAAGAAACTAGTATATCCAAATATATATATATATATAAAATTACAATATGAAAAACTATATAATTTATATATGTAAAATTATAATATAAAAAGCTGAAATATATATATATATATTTTAATTACTTATTATATTATATAGTAATTATATTACTAAATTAAATAAATATATAATTATATATAATTTGATTTATATTTATTTGGTAATTTTAATAATTTAAATTTATTTTTAATGAATAATTAAATTTAATGAATTCATTAATATAATATTAAATAAAATTGTAATTATTTAAAAATATATATATATATTATATATTTAATTATTGTAATACGTGTGGTTTTGAAAATCTTTACGAACGATTAGACGTTCTCGCTAACGTTAACACTAAGTAAGAATGATACTTGAGTAAGTCGATTGAATTTTTCGATATTTCGAATCAGTTTCTAGCATATCAAACATATACAGTAGTGTAACAGAACAACCACAAATAACGAGACAAGAATGATGGTGAACCCATGACTCATTCAAACGGAACTTGCTCGCTCCCATATCTGGCCACCAGATCAGATCGTGTCCGGTAGGAGTTTGCCAGGTTGCTAGGGTGCTCTAAGATATATGACCTTGGCTCGTTACATTCAAGATATCGATGTATCTTTGCCATCGAAACATCGTGATCGTACGCAGGTGGACACGGGGATATCCACTGGTGGTTTAATTCTTTCCCTTTTTTTCTTTCTTTCTATTTTTTTTTTTCACGATTCAGCGAACATTTGGCATAACTCGGTTGCAAAATCGGTCTCGTTAGACTTGTGATAAATTAGAGCGTATTATAGATATGAGAATATAATGTTTGAGACTAATGATAATGATAGGTTAAATGTTTTACATTGTTTTAAAGGTTCAACTTATAGTTTTCTTATTTTATCCTTTTTTTTTTTTGCAAAAGAGAAATTAAAAGAAATAGTTTGGCATAGTTGAAAGAAAAGAGGAAAAATATTGTAACTAATTAAAAAAAGGAATTAGAAAAACTAATATTAAAAATCATAATAATAATAATAAATATATTAGAATATTATACTGGACATGGATATTAATGTTTATGAGTTTTGCATTGTTTTAAAGGTTCAACTTATCGTTTTCTTTTTTTTGCAAAAGCGAAATTAAAAGAAATAGTTTAGCTTAAAAAACGAATAAAAAAATTTTAATAAGTAAAAAAAATTTAAAATAAAAATAATAACAATAATAATAATAATAATAATAATAAATAAATAAATAAATAGATAAATTAGAGTATTATACCGAACACCAATATTTACATTTACGAGTTTTGCATTGTTTTAAAGGTTCAACTTATAGTTTTATTTTTCTTATAGTTTAGTTTAGAGAGGGAAGAAAAAAAATTTAACAAATAAAAAAGGAATAATAAAAAAAATAATAATAATAATAATAATAAATAAATTCGAGTATTATACCGGACACTGATATTTACATTTACGAGTTTTGCATTGTCTTAAAGGTTCAACTTATCGTTTTCTTTATTTTATAGTTTAGTTTAGAGAAGGGGGAAAAAAGTCAACAAATAAAAAAATGAAAAATAATAATAATAATAAATAAATAAATTGGAGTATTTATACCGGACACAGATACTTACGTTTACGAGCATTCACGTATAACATACACCTCCGTCATAGAATGTTAATTATTCTTGTCTGTTAATTGACCGTATTTAAATAGCGGTTCTTGCTAACGCGATCGTTCGGATTCCATTTGTTAATCTCCGCGACTGCCACCGACATCACCGCGTGTGTTTTCTCTTCAAGCAAATGGAAAGAAAATATTACCTATTGAAAAAATGTAAAGAAAAATGTCATCTCTATCGTCGAATGGCGATGGCGATTCTCGTATTGAAATAGTTAGACACATTCGTTCGTTCGAGATACATTATGCATATATCGATCGCGCAACTTGTCACCGAGATCTAGCTCGTTCGATTTTACTCTTTTTTCGCGCTTCTCGATCTCACCTTACCTTGAGCTGACAAGTTTTTCCTTTTTATTTTTTATTTTTTTTTATCTTCCTTTTTTTTCCTTTTTCTAATTTCTTTTTCCTTTCCGTATTTTGCCGAGATACGTATCATTATCTTATATTAACCTAACGTATCATACCAATTTTGTACTTGATTGTTTGTTAGATCACGAGTATATGTCATCGTAATTATTGTCACATACATACTTGGATGATCAGAGTTTCATCATAGTCGATACACTTCTTATTTTATTACTTTTAATTATTAATTCATAATTTTATATTTGAATAGAATTAATGTCTTATATACATATATCTTTTTTTTTTTTTTTTGAATTTATTTATTCATAACTATCGAATATTTGTATCGAGTTCCAAGTGATTAATATCATGGTAATACGTAATGTTTTTTTTCCTTTTTAGAATGATTAAACTAATTTTCTTAGACACCATTATGTCTCGGCAGATTATTCGATTTGTTTGATTCGAGGTCGTTTCTTCTGCCTTCTCGTACAAACCGGGGATCGTACAATTGCTTTAAGGTCATACGCGACATTCCGCGATCTCGTTTTATCTTTTTTTTTTCCTTTTCATGTTTTTTTCTTTCCTTTTCAACGAAGGGAAAGAACGTGGGATCACTTAAAGATCAGTAGACGGTAATAGTCGCAAGAAAAATAAATAAATAAATGCAAACCTAGAATTATGCAGCACGTTAAGTCTTCTTTGATGACCCTGGTCTAACGATGAAACAACAGTCTGATGTATAACTGTCGGTAAAGTATTATATACTTGGCCCAGTTTACAGTTTTTATTACTAAACGTTTTCATTTTTTTCTTTTTTTTTTTTTTAAATCGATGCCAAAGCAACACTTATCATCTGAAGTAATTAAATTTTACCATTAGTGTACTTTGATATTTAATATTTTCATCGTCAAGTTGTATTTTAAAGTTCCACTGTGTAAAAAGGTTTTTTTTTTGTATTATCAATGTTATAATTATTTTTAAAAGTTTGACATAATTTGTTTACTATTACTAAAACGTTGTTTAAAGTTTTATTTCATTATTTGCAATATTGAATCAATATAAAATAAATATGTATTTACTTAAAACATAAAACTATTATGAATGAAATCTTATATATATCATTTAAGTACACTAATGGTAAAATTTAATAACTCGAGATGATAAGTGTTCCTTTGACATTTTATTAAGTGTATAATAGTTTTATTTTCTAAAATAAATACATTTATTATTAATTCAATATTGCAAATAATGAAATTAAACTTTAAACAACGTTTTAGTAATAGTAAACGAATTAAATCAAAATTTTTAAAAATAATTATAACATTGATGATACAGAGAAAACCTTTTAGTACAGTGGAACATTAAAATACAACTTGACGATGAAAAAATTAAATATCAAAGTACACTAATGGTAAAATTTAATAACTCGAGATGATAAGTGTTCCTTTGACAACTTACTAAGTGTATAATAGTGTTCTATGTTTTAAACATAGGAATATTACATTGAATGATCTAAAAATCCACGTAATCGACGATGTGTTTAATTTTGTTAGAAATAATTTTTATTTTTTAAACTATCAATATATCGAATATTTCAATTTATCGATTAAAGAGAAAAAAAATTGAACGAGGATTTCAAAGAAAAGAGGATCACTCACTTGCCCTCAAGGGACACACAGATAATTCAACCTAAATCTCTTTGAGCTGACTTACTTACAATGGTCAAGATTAATTCATTTCCTATACTTCAGTAACAGCAGGAAGGATCCTACGACAATTCATTTCCCTTTTACTTTTATGCTTCTATTCATTAACGATCTGAACCTGTCCATTTCTTTTGTGAACAAAGAAGACTTTTCGAAACGACTATTGACTTTTGACGAAGAAAGTTTTTTTTTCTTTTTTTTTTTTTATGTCAAAGACCAAGTGTGTCTTACAAGTGTCATTAAATTTATCCAGAAAGGAAAAAGTTCTTTTCTTTCCTTTTCTTTTTTTATTATATTTTTTTTTTGTACACAACTTCTTCTTCGATCAGAACAAACAATTTTTAAAAGAGATACAAGACACGTAAGTTAAATATTATTATTTTTATTTTGTTTTGTTATTTTTTGCAGAATGGTTATCCGGCACGACGTCGTTCATTGGTGGACGATGCTCGTTTCGAAAAATTAGTCGTCAAACAGACTAAACAAAACGTATTGGAAGAAGCACGTCAACGAGCGAATGGTAAATACACATTGTTTTCTTACTTATTATTTAATAATTATTATCTTGAATGTACCGTGTTTAAATGTTTTATATATTCATTAGTATTGTTAATTGAAATTAGAATAATAAAAAAAAAAAACAAATTAGTATCGATGTTGCATGACACGTTTTACGTTTTGACAAATTAAACAGACCCAAATGCCGATCCAAAAGACCAACAAGAAGGACAATCTGAAATTTACATTGACGGGGAACATGGAGAGACTTTAATTTGTGAAAGCAAGGAAGGAGGTAAATTTACACTATGCAAATATTTGTTTAAAAAAAAAAAACCCATACTTGTAGAGCATGTTGGCATGAGCACGTTACGTTTTTAATCTTTCAGAAGCTAAAGCTGATGTTTCATCAGACAGCGAAGAGAAACCCGATGACGATTATGACGACGGTAAGTGTAATTATTTAAATTTCAATTTTAACGAAATGTCTATTATATAAATAGACACGATAAAAAAGAAGAAAAAGAAGAAAAAGAAAAAATTTCCTAGAAATTGTAGAAAAATGTTCTTCAACAAAATTGTCACGGAAATGAATTTCGATAAAGAAAAAAAGGGGGACTGTGATAGTAGTGTTAAGATTGAAGGAAGAATAAAGAAAAAGAGAAGGAGGAGGAGGAACATGTTGGGGGTAAATGGAGGGTGAAATGCGAGGGTCATTGTCGAGGGTATTTACCGGACCAAAGTGAGTCGAGTCAAGTGCTGGCACGACACTCACTTCTGTCTGAATTGCTTTGAACGTGCCACTCTATCCAAGTTTTCTTCTTCGTGCATTTAGAATCGTATTACCGTTCAAAGAAGAGAAAAAAAAGAATAAAAAAAGAGAAATTCATTTCTTCTTCTTCTTTTCGAATATAAGACGAAGACGTTCTTACGAAAAGTAACTTTCAACGTTCGAGAATGACTATGAAAAAGTATAATACGTTTATTCCTTCTCGTATTTTTTCATCTTTGTTCTCAAAGTCGGGCACGTCCAAGCCCGACAACGAGAACCACTTTACTTCTTTTCCAACCACTCATTCGCACCCCTCCCATCCTCCTATCGTCGCCGTTGTCGTCAGTAGCACCCACCACCATTACTACCACCACTACCACCACCATTGCTGCAACTGACGACAGAATGCTCTGACGGAAATGGACTACGAATCACGCGATTATTATATTTTGCCGCTTTGTGTCACTTCATGGTGTTGGAGAATTTTCACGTGAAAGGGAATGATTTTTATTATTAAACTTCTAATGTGAAGAATCCTATTTTACAAATAGTAAATGTTTCAGTTGAATTTTGTCAATAAAACATTTAAAAAATATTCTTATATTCTCTTTCTTTTCAATATTCTCGTAAATATCGATGATATAAATTGAAACACAATACGTTTCATTTTAAAACCATGATAATATAATAAAAGATAAAATAGATTAACATTGTTTTTAACAGATGTTGGATTGACCGAGGAAGAAGTTGTATTGGCTAAAGCAATTGCTGAAAGTCCGGAGAGCGAAAACGTCATACAAAAAGCTTCATTAGTGTTACGTTTGCGTGAAGGCATTAGTTCATTGGCAAGAATCTTAAAGACCGTTGAAAATTTCAAGGGTACGGTAACTCACGTTGAATCGAGACCTTCGAAAAAGGAAGGTTTACAGTTCGATGTTCTGGTGAAGGTTGATATAACGAAACAATGTCTATTGCAATTGATACGAAATCTACGACAAAGTTCATCGTTGGACGGCGTTACTTTGTTGACGGAGAATTCTGTAAGCATCAAGGATCCTTGGTTCCCACGTCACGCATCAGATTTAGACAATTGTAATCATTTGATGACGAAGTACGAACCGGATCTCGATATGAACCATCCTGGATTTGCGGATAAGGAATATCGTGCACGTAGAAAGGTCATAGCTGAGATAGCATTTGCTTATAAGTATGGTGATCCAATTCCCAGCATCCCATACACCGAAGTTGAAAATGAGACGTGGTCTCGCGTTTTCAATACCGTTGTTGATCTGGTACCTAAACACGCATGTGTGGAGTATCAAAGAGTCTTCAAAAAATTACAAGAAGAAAAGATCTTTGAGTGTCATCGTATACCACAATTACAAGAAGTTAGTAATTTTCTACAAAAGAATACTGGATTTACATTAAGACCAGCAGCTGGATTGCTCACCGCCAGGGATTTCCTATCGAGTCTTGCATTTAGAGTATTCCAAAGTACCCAGTACGTTCGTCATATCAACAGCCCTTATCACACTCCTGAACCGTGAGTATTACTATATATTTCTTTTTTTTTTTTATAATAAGTACGATAAGAAGATGATTTAAAATAAGATTGTCGAGTTATTAATACCTTTCGATATAAAGTTACTATTATTAACACCTGGGTAATTTAAATCGATATTATATATATATATATATGCATATGTATCTACGTATAATGAGAAAGATAAAGAGAAAGGGGCGAACAGGGGGGAGAATAAAGGGAGAGCTGGTAACCTAATTACTATGCTTCTCTAAGCTCGTAATGGAACTCTAATTGGCTTTTAACGACACGATGTCGTTGATAACTCACTTGTGCACCAGTTGCGAACTCTCTTTCATCGTTCGTCCCTTAATTTTGAGATGGTTGTTATACTTGTCACTTCTATCATCGTACCGAAACCTATACCCTTTTTTACACGAGTTAAATGAACGAACTTTTAGATGAATAGATAAATAATAATATAAAATAATAATTTCTCTTTGACCTGTATCAATTAATATCATTATTTTCATATATATATCTACAGAGATTGCATTCACGAATTATTGGGACACATGCCGCTACTTGCCGATCCAAGTTTCGCACAATTTTCACAAGAAATTGGTTTGGCATCACTCGGTGCATCTGATGAAGAAATTGAAAAATTATCAACTATTTATTGGTTCACCGTTGAATTTGGATTATGTATGGAGGGTGGTGAGGTAAAAGCTTATGGCGCTGGTCTCTTATCTGCTTATGGTGAATTGCTTCATGCTCTGAGCGATAAATGCGAACACCGACCATTCGAACCAACTACTACGGCTGTTCAAAAGTATCAAGATCAAGAATATCAACCGATTTATTTCGTTGCTGAAAGTTTCGAAGATGCTAAAGAAAAGTTCCGTCGTTGGGTAAGTTATGATAACATTGAATGTTCTGAATGGAAATTCAAAAAACATTGAATGATTCATATGATGATGTTTGAATGAAAATTTGAAAATGATTKATTTATTTTTTATTTGTTTTAAGATCAATCATGATCAAACTATTACTATAACGTTTTATATGAATTTTAAATGTGTTTCATTTATTCGTAAAAGCCGGAATTAAAACAGCATTCCGTTTGAATGTTTCAGGTGGCAACCATGAGCAGACCATTCGAGGTCAGGTTTAATCCGCACACGCAACGTGTTGAAGTACTCGACACGGTCGACAGGTTGGAAGGAGTTCTTTCTCAACTTAATACCGATATAACTCATCTTACCAATGCTATTAACAAAATCAAGCGCAATTTTGCCGCGTAAAATGATGAAAAAGTATAATTTGACTTTTTCCAAAAAAAGAAAAAAAAACCCAATCAATTTCTCTTGAAAGAAAACGATTTAACTTATCTTATTGCTTAGATTTGTCGTCGTAGATAAATAGGGTTTTATTGTCAATCAATCTCGATCAATCTTTTTATTTTTTTTTTATCCTTTATCCTATTAGTATAAAAAAAAAAAAAAAAAAAAACAATATAAAATTGCCGCTTATTGTCTCGTAGACGTTGTCATAGACGAAAACAAAAAAAAACATTTGTTCGAGAAAACAAAATTGTGTTCTTATGCTCTCGTTTATTTTTATTTGTTTGTTTTTTTTTTTTTAATTTTTGATTTATCAACACATCGATTAATGTTCTTCTTTTTTCCAAATCTCTTTTTTTTTTTTTTTTTTTTTTAATAATTATTTTATTATTTATATAAAAAATAGATACAAGTAAGTAACGTTTCGAGGTATCAAAAGTTGCCAAGTTTGAGTTAATTTAATCAGAATCGGTTTGTTTTTTTCTTTTTTAATTTGTTACGAAAGAGAGAAAGAGAAAGATAGAGATAGAAGATCCAAGACAAGGTCTAAAAAAAAAAAAAAAAAAAAAGCCAAAATTTGGACTTCCTTTAATTTAGTTCCTTAAGTTTAATCCCGCCGCGCTTCATAAAGTTTCTTCTTTCATTATTTTTTAAAGATTTCATTTTTATTCTTTAAACGAATAAGATTGAAACAATATTTTAACTCGCGTCCTATTTTCTTTTCTGTTTTTTTTTCCATTTTTTTTTTTCATTATCGTAGTACATTCCACTAGCATAGTTGAGCTTTAATCTCATTCTTGTATAAAGTAATATAATTTCGATTGACATCGTAGTAAATCATAGACGTGCGAAAGAAAATATTTAGTAGAAAAAGAAGCAAAACAAGAAAAAACAAAAAAAAATAAGAAAAAAAATAAAAAGAACAAAAAAAAACAGAATAAAGACAAAAAGAAGTATTAATAAAATAGAAAAAGGAGAATATTGAATTGGGACACTAATGTCCTTATAATACGGATACTAAGAACGAAAGTGAGTGTGAATAGTAGTTAGGTTACTTGCGGAACGAAGGTCGCGTATACTATGCCAATCTAATTTTCCACGTCATTGGTAAAAGTTGCGATCAAGCAAAACCTCCTGTTTTTCATTGGTTGTATATCACACCCGTTGATCATTAAGAATCACATTTTTTATATATTCGTCTTTGTTCGTTTTATTTACATACGTAGTTAAAAAGCGTGACAAAAAAATAAAACATCCGTAACTCGAGCTTCGACGAATTTTTTTCTTTTTTTTTTTTTTTCAGAAAAAAAGAACAAAACAAAAAATAACAAAAATAAAATCAACGAATTTATTTTGATTTTCTTTTTTTTTTTTTAACTCGTTTAAAATTCGCACATTTACACGCGCATCTTTAATTTCCGTTCATTATATTTTTAATTATTATTATTATTATTTTTATTTTTATTGTACACCCACATTGTATTACTATTATATATTGTACAATATTGTATTTGTTATATTAGAAATATTTCTTTCTTTGTTTTCTCTTAATTAATTAATTATGAAATCTCTTTTGTAAATGTTTAATATTTTCTGATTAAACTTCAATCATTTGTATTGTATAATTGTGTATAAATGTAGTTTTAGTATTAAAATCCAATGAAAAATCATTAAATATGAAAATAATATATCTTTATTAATAGGATATTTTTTATTTGATTATTATTTACATGAACATATTTATCCACAATTATATGAGATAAATGAAAATATGAAAACAAAGGAAGAAAATGCAAGTAACAAGTTTCGATCCACCGATATTGAAATATAATCGACGTTTAAATTAAAATAATAAAATAATCTAGCACAACAACTCCTCTATATATATATATATAGAATGTAGTTAGTTAATTAGTTAATTAAATAATAGATGATGGCGTGTATCTTTTGCTTATTATTAGCTCGTAACCTGCACATATCTCGACCAACAAAACAACTCTTTTTCCTTTTATTATTTTAATACTAACTCGTACCAAATACCTCCTCGTATGTATGTATACTTACGTGTATTATGTACTTGGTTAAAAAAAAAAAAGAAAAAAACACAAGAAACCTTTTAGCTAATGGTCGAACTATCTTAAAACATTTTATTTGTATTATATTGTAAAGTACTTGAAGCATAATAAAAATCTAAGATATATGTATCTTATGCTTAGCCCGTTAAATTATTATCGTATTTATTATTTTAATTTTATTGAAAATAAAAAAATAAAAACAAACCAATAAAAAGTAATTAAAAAAAAAAAAAAAATAGGAAAAAATACAATTAATAATAAATAAATAATATTTTCAATTAAATTACAATTACAATTATGTTGTCTTTTGTTGCATTTGAAATTAGAAGATGAAAAAACTTGTTTTTTTTTTTTTTTTTCTATCGAAGCTATGACCCATCTTCGTACTATCGATTAATCGAAATCAAAGATATTCGTATCGAAAGAAAATATGAACGAAAATGTCAAATCCAATTTGTTCAATCACATTTCACACGTTTTAATCTTTCCACGTGCACGATGATGCAGTTAGAAAAGAAACACGGTACTTTTCTACCACGTTAATGGAGAAATAAATAAAAAAAAAAAAATAAAATAAAAAAGGAAGAGGATAGAAATAGAGAACGAGATAGAAAGAAACAGAGAAATAGTAGGAAGAAAAAAAATTATATTTTAGGTAAATAACGGGCACACGCTCATAAACGTTAACGATTATGACAAAACTTTTACCTTTCGTTCTCGGCTCGTTTTTAACGTTGGAATGCGCCAAAGCGAAAATGTGGAATGACCACGGTGACAGTAAGTGAAAGTAAACGAAGATGATAATCATATTCCGAGACTTCCTCATATTTTTGTTTTCTTTTTTAAACTTTAACTTTACAGATCATTCTAATGATACTTTTCGTATCTTCCTATGGATCGGTCGTATCAAACGTCTTACCTTGATTGCTTTCATGATACTCAGCGTTTTACTTTATTACATACCTGAATCTCGTTCTCGTGAGTAATAAAAAAAAAAAAAAATAAAATAAAACAAAATTTTATAGTTAGAGAAATCGATGATAAAAATAGACAAACGAATGATAATTAATAATTATAAAAATAACAAACAAACTAAATTAACCCTTTGAGTACTGAATTATTTGAAGATTTGGATGCATATATAAGGGATTTAATTTGTTGCTTTTAATTATTTTGTTATAGTAGATTTTAATGTGTACAAATAATGTACTTTATTTGGAATATATATTTATATTGGTGATATAAATATATTTTTGCAACAGCATTTTAATTAAAAAATATAAATAAATATATTAATGAAACAAAAAAAAATATATTTGTAAAATATAAATATATAATTAAATAAAATATATATATTGATATATTTATATAAGCTTCTTAAATTCAGATGACGAATCTTATTCGTCATATGTACCCAAAGGGTTTTAATTGAACAAGATGACACAAATGTTCTTACAAATAAATTATACTTGTTAGATGTAAGAAAGGCTTGTTGTTTTTTGATCGATCTCATTGCTGATGGATTAAAATTTACCCTACGTGCTACAGAAAGTGATTATGGGAAAAAAATGAAATTTAAACGACGTACATTTTTAAACAATCATTCGAAAAGACGCAACGTGGAAAAAAATAAAACTAATGAAAGATTATCTAGGTGAATTGTTAAACGTTAATTTGTTTAAAATTAATTTTATAATAATTGACAAAAATTTATACAGAATATATTTTTCAGGTATCAAGAAAATATGATAACACGTTCTAAAGGTTATATCCGTGATCTAGAAAAAAAATATTTAAATCATCGTCGAGATAATCGACGTTATCGTGAAATGATTGCAAATGATGTTACGTTGAAAACTTGTCTCGAGTTAGCACCTTTCTTGCAAGATCAATATCAACAAAAGTGTGACGTATATACTGTTCGTTTAAAAAATGAAAATGGTCAGAAGATGATGGATCATTCGTTTAATCATCGAAATGACGTTCCTTACTCGAAACAAAAATATGTCATTGGATATTCCGAAGATTGTGAACCGAATGAATCGGTTAATATTTTTTCATTTAATTTCACTCCTATTGCAAAGCTAATTTTACGAACATCATTATTTTACTTGTTCATTTTTTCCTTTTTTTTTCTTTTTATTACAGAATTTATCTTTAAATTATTACGAATCATCGAACGACAGGTAAATGAAAATAATCAATGAATTGGGAGAAAATTTTAAAATAAATGATCAACATTATATTGTGTTTTAGGTTTAATCAAAACAATTCGGAGATGTTATCGACCTATCAGGAAGAAACAGTCGGTGATAATCAATATTTCACGAATAAAAATGAAATATCTATGGATGATGATTCGAAAGGAGATAAAATTCGTAAAAGAAGAAAAAGAAGAAAAATCATTGGAATACGACAAATGCACGGTGATACTATACCAGAAATGTCTTACAACGAAAGTTCTTATACGAGTTTAGATGCGGAAGCGGATGACGAAAATTCGCAATGTGGAAATGAAATAGAAAAGGGATTGAAATTTTGTAAAAAAAGAAACGTCGAGGAAACTACGACGACGATGAGTACGTCGATGGGAGGAGGATATCATAGCTCGTCTTCCAGTGAAATTTTATTTCCTTCGAGAATACGACGCAATAGACGATCATTCCTATAAGATTAATACTTTTTCTTTCTTTTTGTTTGTTTGTTTGTTTTTTTTTTTTTTTTTTTTTTTTAATGTACGATCGATCTACTCTATGATTATTCTTCTTATCTTTTTAATAAAACATTTGTAATAATTTTTTTTTTAAATACATTTTACGTCGGTTTATTATGAATAATATTTGTCATGAAATTAAAATCAAATGAAATGAAATTCTTTTTCACTTAATGTATATTTTAAGCTATCCATAAGATTAAAATATTAAACAATCATAACGAATGATCGAATGGTTTTGTACAAATTTTGCAATAATATAAAACCTACGTAAAATGTGTTAAAATAGAAGAAGAAAAAAAGAAAAGTATATGAGGATATACAAAAGGTGAATGGTAAAACGTAAAGACGTGACCTCGAATTATAAAGAGTATACTTTTCTTTTTGATCGACCTATTTTTATAATACGTAAAAGACGAGATTCTTCTCTCTTGAATATCTAAAACTAACCGAGTCAATTATAAAATAATTATATTTTGAAAAAAAAAAAACAAAAACAAGAAATAAAAAACGAAGATTAACGAATGGGATTGTCGATTATTCAGATTCCTCGGAAAATTCATTATCGTGTGCACTAAAGTGGATTTTTGGTGGATGTCCTGGAAAAACCTATCAACGTATCTCAAAATTGAACAAGGTAGAATAAGAAGAAGGAGGATGAAGAGGAAGAAAAATGGTCGGAAAGGAAGAAATTTATGGAAAAGTGAACGATATCGTGAACGAGTGGCTCTGCTTCGAACAAGAAACGAAAAGCTGAACGAGTTGCTGCCGATAAACGTGGAATCTTTCATTACCAACGAACACAACCGCGATAAATTAAAATTATACCTCAGAATATAACTTCAAACAAATTTGTTTCCACTCAGGATTGTTAAATTTTTATGTTCAACTAAATAATAATATGATTTTAAATCGTTCCAAAAACTTTAAGCAACTTTGTTAATTGAAAACTAACTTGTACGATTAATAACACATATAAATGTTGCAAATTATCGTTGGTATTATCGATTAGAAAGAATTTACAAGCTATTCGTCAAATTTTTGAGTAAAATTTCCTTCATGTATTATAACTGGATCTAAAACAAACATTATGTTTCTCCTAAGAATTATAGATTTCTAAAAATCACATAATTTTTAGACCAATTTTTATCGTCAGATTAAAACGGTGTTAGAAAAAAAAAAATATTCATACTTTTAAAGTATTTAAAAAAAAAGTTAGATAAGTTTAACAAAATATTCTGACAATGATATATTTAAATCAATTCCACTAATCTAATAGAAAAATATTGGCGGCAAATTTAAACAAGTTTGAGTTGTTGACGTTTTTTAAATTGTAAAGAGAGGGTTGATTTTATTACTCGCTTGTTCTATCATTCTTTCTTTCTCTTATTCTCTCACGAATAACCGGAAGTTAGCTATCGCGCGGCTAGTATTCGTGGCTTAAGAGCAATAAAGGACGTCCGTCTGTCGAGCAACGAGCGAACGAAGAGAGAAAACGGGCCGACACAGTCGTGCGGAGGCCAAGAACCGCGTCGGATCGTGAACACCGTACTCGTGAAATTGTCAGGAAACACGTGACACGTTTACTGAATATCTCCTGACTAAACTCAAACGATTCGTGAAAGAGATTCTGATCAAAAGAAAGAGAGAGAGAGAGAGAGGGATCTACTTTCGCTGATCGAAACATTGCACGCGCGTTCTTTAAACGATATTCCTAAGAAAGATGTACTTTATCTTCATCATTCAAATCACAATTTTACATTTGGGTCAACGTTTATTGTGAACAACGAATAATCTAATTTTAAATTAAGAAAGAGAAAGATAAAGAGATAGATAGATAGAACAATTCATTGAATATTAAATTAATTAAACGCGTGAAAGGATCGTGAGACTAAAGGATAATACAAAAGTACGAGAGGTAAGTTTCAAATAAAATGACGTAGTTTCAGTAGAAATACATTAACATTATAGGCAATAATATCGATGTTTCAATACAAAATATTTTTCCTATATATTATATTCTTTTTTAACGATCGATAAAAAAATTATATATATATGTTACTGATTTAATGATCTTTCATGAGATCGTAATGGGAATCGTTTGAAATCGAGTTTATCGGCACTGATCTATCTCGGACGGTCAAAATCAAGTCAAAAGTCGTTGTTCCAAATATTAAGAGATTTTCGGCGCATGAATCACGGAATCGACTACCGAGCGATACTAAATTTCCTTAGATCCGTTGGCCCATTGCCAAGATCGCGAGCAAGTTCTCCTTCTCATTTCTTGGGGCCCACGAAGAATGGGAACGTGCGATATCATCTCTGAGAAAGAGAAAATGCTACTAATACTACTGTTCTCACAAAGTTAACTTAACTTTTCCCGCGTACTACGGAAAATCTACTTCATTTCGATTAGAGAACGTAAAAGTGATAATGTAAGGTTGATTTTGAAAAAAGATAACCAGCGTTCTTACATATCTTACGTTCAGATCCTATCATTATGATTGTAACGGATTTACTGTACATAAAAAAGAATATAAGGATTCTAATAAGTGAATCATCATTTTCCTCTAATTTTATTTTACTTATTTTAACAAATATTACGAAATTTGTCCTTTATAATATCCTGTTTTTGAAATGTTTATTTTCAATTATTATTTTCTATTATATCATATGATATAATTTACACGTATCCTTGATCTATTATTATTTTTTTTTTTATATTCTAGGTTTTATACACACTTGAAATGTGTTAAACTTGTGATAACCCTTTATAATATTATTTTGTAGATACGATCAATGAATGTTACAATTCCTATTAAACATATCTACTTATCATTAAAATTATTGATTAACTTATTATGTAATTTATTATTCTAATCAATCTTGTTTTTCTATTGTCTTTAACTATTTGATTTGACAATCTAATATGAAAGATAGAAAAGAGAGTCCATAGTCCCTTATAAATTTCCGGGGAATGATATTCTCGTGAGACATCGCATTGTTGAACGACCAAACGAATTCTCAAGATTCCTCGAGACATGTGCGAAGCGTTCTATTAATGTAACGCATCGAATCTCTCTCATACTCTCCTCTCTCTCTCTCTCTCTCTCTTATTTTTTCCAATTGCTTTCCCCTACATCAGCAGCCCCTGTTCTTCCTTCTTCTTCTGCTCTTGTTCTTCTTCTTCTTCTTTATCTTCTTTTCTTCCTTCTTCTTCTTCTTTTCTTTCGTTTTACCCTAAGTTGTTAAAATGGCCGGCAGAACGTCGCCCTGAGTGTACAGAATTGCTGTGTTTAAACCATCTCTCGTGTATAAGAAAGAGAAATAGAAGATGAAGAAGAAAATACGTTAACGTGATTCTCTACTTTGAATTTGCTTCCGTTTTGATTTAGAATAAGAAAGGGAATGAGACACGAAACATCTTGTAAATGGGTCGAAATACAGAATACCAAGAGTAGTACGAGATGATAGTCTCTTAAATGGGATCTAGCACATCGTATGAAATGTCATCGATACGATCTTTTCTCTTCTTATTCTTCACTCATTCTATTTATCTCTGTCTCTCTCTCTCTCTCTCTCTCTAATTCTATTTCTCTCTCATTCTCATCTTCATTCTCATTTTCGTTCTTGTTCTTGTTCAAGAACGATACGAACTAAACACATCGATAAAACGAATTCGATTCTCGTTTATACGAACGTGACGATAAAATCAATACAAATTTCATTTACTAACAATACTATTTTTACATATTTTCCATTTCAATTGTTTATTATATATTTTGTAGTATTTAAAAAATAATAATCGTAAAAATTGTTCTATAAACATTTGACTGACTCACTCAACTCCTCCAAGAAAAAATTTGACTAGAAAATCTTACATTTATTTGCAATAGAAAATATTATTTTCTATTGAAAATATATTCATAATTTTATTTATTTTCCCATTTACAAATTGTTTATAATATACTCTTTAATCTAAAAAATATAATAATCGTAAAAAAACGTTCTATAAACATTTGACTGACTTTCCCACACTTCTCCAAGAAAAAATTTGACTCAAAATCGTATCAAATTTATTTATAGTTAATAGAAAATATTATTTTCTATTAAAAATATATATATATATATATATATTTATAATTTTGTTTGACAGTACGTTTTATTTTGATGTCAATTAATAACCACTCAACTTTATATTAAATAAAAACATTATTTAACACGTTGCCGCAAATGACGGCTATAACCGTCCGATCTTCATATTTCTAAGCACGATCGTCAAATAAAAGTGTGCGGCAACGTGTTAAGGAATATATCAAAAAGCTTTCCCCGAACACTTTACAGTGCACTATGTTTTCATCGTCATACGTATGTTTATTATTATTTTTCATTTATTTTTGTTTTTGTCCATAGTGACGAGTGCACGGAGCATGACGTCAAATGCAATTAGGGGTATTCGAAGGAAAAAGAGTTCGCTGTGCGAAGTAAAGGTAGCCGTTATCGGTGCGCCAGGGGTTGGAAAAAGTGGTGAGTAGGAAAATAATGTTGTTTGTAATAATTGAGTAAACGATAACAATATATAAACGTGTGCATATGTGCGTACTCTTTCGTAATATAAAAAATACAGTATAGACACACACACACACATACACACACACATATGAGTTCACGTATCATAGCAAAAAAAAAAAGAAAGAGAGAGAAAAACAAAGACTTTTAAGGGGTCAATTAATTCTGTGAAATTGGCGCAACTTTGAGGAAAAAAGGTTGACTTTTTCAAGTTCACAGAATTTGACCTAGGGAAAAATTCATACGTAGTTCTCTAGATAATAGTACATAGATTAAGCATTTCTTTCGTTTTTTGTTCCACATTTCATACGTGTCCAGGTATGAGTAAGCTAGTTTTAGCCAAAAAAAAAAAAATAAAAACAGAGTTTTGTTCAGCCACGAATACCTACGCAACTTTGTATCTAAAATCAATCAAAATATTTGTTTACATAGTTCAATATATGATTAACGAACCCTCAAAAAAGAAATTCTATTCTTCATTTAGTGTTCGCAAAAAAAATTCTCCAAAAATAGGCTTTTTTTCAGACTCTAGAGTGGCGTTACCCCTTAACTAATCGATAAAAACAATGAAACGATTCTTTGAACATTGTTAATTTTTAATAAGTAAAATTAAAAATAAATTTTCGAAATGATGATGATGATGCTTTCTAAAACGATCAAAAACTATGACGATAATACGGTCGTTTAAGAATTTGGCGCGATGCGGAAGACCTTGGACTAATAGCGGAAAACATGTTGAGTTGAAGGATGTCTGAGTTTTCTTACTAAATTAATTATTATCAGTTTGTCTAACGAATGTAAAAGAATATTGCAATAGACGAGGAAGATGAAGAAGAAGAAGAAGAAGATTCTAAAAATATTTTTCTCTTTGGTCAGCAAATATTGATCGTTTTAAGAGGATTCGTGAACATGTGAGATATATATCTAAGGTTTTGAACTCGATCGTAATTTTCTCTCTCTTTTGAAAATGAAAGAGAGAAAGAGAGGGATATAGGAAAGAGGATGAGAAGATTCAAGTGCAAGTGCGACGAAAACCCTTGCTAACATAAGACGACGTTAGATAGAACGAGAGAAGCATGCCGTGATAGCTTTGAGGACCCTGAGAGCAGCCAACCCGGGTGTATTTTCGGTAATGGCACGTGCTAAAGACAGGTAGGCGAGTAAATAATCGTTCGCCTTAACGGTTACTTCTTCTTCTTCTTTTTCTTCTACTCGTATCGTTGCAATTTCTTCTATTTATAATGTGTTATTTCCGAATTCGAACGAATTTTAAAAAGATTTGTCAAATAATTCAATAAAATGAATAAAACTTTAGTCGAGTATAAACATTTACAACGAGTAACGAGAATATTTGGCAATCTTCTTCTCATTTAATTGAAAACAATCAATATTTTTCTCTTACAATACAATATATATATATAGAAACATATTTTAGGATTATTAAATTCTATGGAATTTATTACAAACAAAATTTGATATATTATTGGTCTCTTATATTTCTCTGACAATAAAATATTTTTTTCTTTTTGGAGAGATTTTTTGCAATAAAATTAATATCAGTTTGAAAATGGAATTATCCTAAAATATGAATAATTGTGATAATTTCTAATAGAAGCAAAATTATTAAAAAATATTGATAATCGAGTAGATACAAATACTTCGGTGACTTACTATACTTATTTTTAATAATTGAGTAGTTAACATTTATTAGAAAATTATTTTTCTCGATTGATTCTTACTTATAAATGAATTTCTTCCTATAGTAATGTGTGTGTGTGTGTGTGCCCATTGAGTGAGGTCGGCGTGCTTTACGTTTTACACGCATACAACGATGAACGATGGAAACTCGTTTATTATGAAAGAGATCAAACGTAGTCAACCGTCTGCGTACTCTTCACGAATTCTCTTATTAATGGAAGTCTTGCGGAATCAATTTCGATCGATTCTGTATTATCGTTTAAAATGTTGTATTTCGTGTAAAACTAAAAGCCCCTGAACTTGTACGTTCTTTCCTCAACAGAACATCCTATGATATTTGAACTCTTACAAATTTTTATCTTCAATAAAACGTTCTTTGTACTTATAGCAAATACGAGCTTTCAAAAATTCAATCAATTAATAATAAATGTCTTTCGTTATTTCGATTATCTTATAAGATTTCTATTTTATATTATTTTTAATTAAAATAAATGTCTTTCACATTATTTCAATTATATCATAAGATTTCTATTTTGTATTATTTTTATTAATGTATTATAAATTCTTTTATTTCCTTATTAAAAATTATTACATCTAACACGTTACTATTTTAATAGTAACCTAATAAAACAAGTCGTTGTAAAACGTTAATTATTTTTTACAGGTGTCCATGTGTTAGAAAATAATTCATAAGTACACAGGAAGGTACATTTACAATTAGTGCAATTGTATATGAATATAATAAAACATATGCTAAAACAGCTCGTACTATTACGAATAAAAACGATTCAAGGCCTGCTTATTACGTTTCATTTCGAACAGAAAATAATAGATAATTTTATCATGATTGAAATGCAACAGTCCCTAGAATTGAATTACGATGTGAGTTTTAAAAGTTGTACCTGAATCGTTTTGAAAAAATTCAGAACTTATTATATGATTTTATAAATACAAGAAAAGGGTTGTTACTGTGATGACTTCAGAGATAAAAATGTTCTATAATACAAGTAGAATGTATTAGAATATTAAAATAATTGTTAATTAATCGAAAAGAATGTGTATTGTTACCTAAAAGCTCGGAATATATGATTGAAGTACCGTCCTTTTCGAAATTCACCTTCAAACTGACAAGTGGTCATCTATGTAACTGCATTTATTCAATGTTGTTTATATGACTTTCCGAATAATGCGCATGTGTACAACGGTAATAATATTCCTAATTAATCAAATTTAAGATTATAACGTTGTAATTTTTACATTTTTTTTCATTCTAATGTAATTATTTTATTGTTCCTGCGCAGTAATAGACTTCGATGCTAAAAGTTACCTGTAATATTAATAGAGTGTATTAGAATATTAAAATAATTCTTAAGAAGACAACGTGCCAGTCTGTGTATTCCATGTACTTGGAAATGTTAAACAATAATAGACATTTGCATCGATTAAAATTAACAATTATTTTTTTGTTTTAAACCCTGTTATCAATATTGTTAAATAAATTCTGATTTTTAAATTAAATTTTGAAATAATAGTAAAAATTTGAGAAATATTTATCTTAAGTGATTCGAATACGATAGTAAAGATATAAATCTCAGATAATAATTCGATGGAAAGGGTTAAAAGAAACGAATCTGTTGATACTGTTGGCGAATTGCGAAGTTGTCACCTGATCTGATTTGAGATGAAAAGGCGCCGCAATGTTTCGATGTTAACGTAACTCTCGTGCAAGGTTTTGTGGCGCCGAGGCAGGTTCGAGTTCGAGGTAAAAATAGTGTGGTATACCTCGAAGCGGGTCACTAGGTCTCTGCTTCTTCTTTCTCCTCAAGCTTGAGATATCGAGATAAACGAAGAGCAAACGCACGACATATGTTCATTAAAATTAAACTGATTTTTCTCATAAATTATCATTCAAACATACATACACGTAACATATAAAAATCTGTAATACAAATCAATTGAGAAATAATAAAAGAAATTAATTAAAATAGTACAATTACAATTTAATAAATCGAATATATAGAAAGGATTGTTTTTCATCGTATTAATTTATCTTTTAGATTTTTCTTTTAACATACGCACACATGCGTAATATGAAATTTCGCGAGATAATTTGATTAATTATTTTGTAATAAAACGTATCATTAACTTTTTGATATTTTACAAGAATAATTGAATAAATGTAAAAGATGAATTTTAAAAAGGTCATCGATATATTATTCATTTAAAATAAAAATAAAATAATACAAAAGATGAGTGAAGTTTAAGTGAGTACTAGGAGTCCGTCGATGCTTTTAAAAGCTTCCAACTCGAAAAACGTCAGGTGGAACTCGTCGTTCATACTCATCCTCTTTTTCGAATGAGAGACAGAAAAAGAGGAAATATGTCTTAGTTGACACACGTAACGAACTCGTTTGCCACGGAAAAGGTTACGTTATATCAGGCGTCGTTTATATATATATATATATATGCATTTTATATAAATACGCGTATCATCGGTGAAATGCAAAAGCGAACTTGCAATAGAAAAAAAATGCAGCATTGTGTTACGCGGCTCTATCCGACATTGTATACGTTGGTTGCACWCACACACATATGCATATACATAAAATACACACTCGATCATGTTATTCGATCATAAAAATATCGATTCGAGTTATTCTTCGTTTTATTTTGATCTCATTTTCTTAACATTTTTCACGTTACTCGTCATTTATATCAAATAATATTAAAACAACCAAAAATTCCATCGTAATATCCTCTTAGAAACATAATTTATGATGTTTGTAGAATTTTTCTTTATACAACTGCATTCGTAAGTTCTAAATCTTTATATAGTGTCTAAAAAAAAGAAAAAGAAAAAGAAAAAGAAAAAAGATCCACTTAATAGTAGAAATTTGACGATGTTCCAATATCACTGTTAACGCTAAGAAAGCCATCTGCCAAATGAGAAACAAACGTTAAGACGGAAATGTTCGTTTTCATATCGTTTATGACATTGAAAAACAGGCCAGACTGCACGTTATAAATTCGTTTTCGATTTTCTTTACTGTAAACATTGATCCTGACCATACCGTTTTCATTATATTTTACAGCGTTGACAGTGAGGTTTTTAACGAGGCGATATATCGGAGAATACGATCATCAATCTGGTAAGAATTTTTCTTCTTCTTTCAATGCTATATTACTTTTTTTTTTTTAATCATTTTTTCATCCTTTTTTATACAATATTATTATAATAAAATTAAGCACCGATTTTCTAAGTGACAATAGAATGGACTATTTTCTGAAGTATTGCCAACGGCTGTAACTGTTTCTAAGACCGCGACTCTATCTTTCTCTGTCTCTGTCTTTCTTTCTCTTTCTCTTTCTATCCCTCTTTACATTCCACCGACCGCGTCTGGTCTAAATTTATCAAAGACGAATTTGACACTAGACAGGACGGGTACTAATGCGAGGTTGATACTCGAAGGAAGAACCTTTTTTTTTCCTTTTCTACAAATACGTGGACACTGGACAAAGTACTTTTACTTACATCAGTAGAAACTATTTCGTCACATTAATTTAGAAAATAAATTATCCATTTTGTTATACAGTCTGTTCAAAAATTCTAATCATCATAGTAAAACGAACAATTTTATTATATCTTTTGTTTTTAAAGTTATTTTTTTTTTTTTTTTACAGAAAACAGATACAAACACGAAGTGCTCGTTGATGGGGAACCAATTCTTTTCGAAATTTTGGACTCCTGTCCGAAGGTAATTTTTGTTTTTAATGATAAATTTAATTTCATATTTGTAAAAGTTTATACGTAATCGTAGAAATGTTAAGATTAAACACGTATATACATTTACATATATTAAAAGGAAGAACTGATTTTACAGAGCGACGATGAAATGCCGTCGATGGAAACTTTGCAGTGGGCGGATGGTTTACTCTTAGTTTATTCGATAACTGATCGTGGTTCTTTCAATTTCGTGAGAAAAGCAAAAGAAGCATTAGCGGTAGCCGATCCAGAAGCTGCCATGCCACTCGCTATGGTTGGAAACAAAGCTGACATGGTTCATCTAAGACAGGTCAGTGCGGAAGAGGGGGAAATCTTGGCTAAAGATTTTGAATGTTGGTTCAGCGAAGTTAGCGCGGCAGAACAGGTATATTTTTATTTCGAATCGATTACAATTTATCTTCATTTTCTTCGAAAATCAATCGATAATTTAAATTAAACAGGTTGTCCAAGTAGCCGAATCGTTTCACGAATTGTGTCGTGAAGTTCTTGCTGCCAGAAGAAGAAATAAACAATCGTTGCTCGACAGAATGCTTGGTAGCAAAGCTACGAGAACATATTCCAGGGGTAAAAGCGATTCCGCTTTACCCAAGGATTGATTAATTAATTAATTATTTTGATTTAATTAATAAGATAGGATTTTTTATTGACTGTGCAGAACTGAGTAAGATAGAAAGAGAAAGAGAAAGAAGAAAGAGCAAGAGAAAGGAAGAAAGAGTGAAAAAGACTAGAAGAGATTTCAGTAGACTCGTTTTAAACGAGTTGATAAAAAAAAAATCAGGCGCCAAAGATTGTATCATACTGTTAATATTTTATATCAAATAACATGTACAGCTATAACGTGCGACTAATTTTAATAACGTACTTTTGTTAAGAAAAAAATTGATCTTTTTTTAATGAATAACAATTATCTAAATTCGTTTTATTTCTTAACACTTTGACGATCGTATTTTTTTTTATCGATAAATTGTTTACGCAGCAACACACTGCTTTTTATCTTTTCTTTTAAAATCTACTCTGGAACATACGTTTTTTATAAAAGGCTGTATATTTTTGTATAGCTCGTAAATCTATCGAAAGTGTAAGTAGTGGTTTGTATTAAAAACATCGACTCGTTCTAAAATAAATTATCGATACATTATTATAAACAAGAAAAAACACCATCAAAGTGTTAATAAATTAACGATTTTATAAATCACATCGATTAGGCTTCATAAAGGCTGATCTTATATAAACGCAAACATATATACACGAAAAATTGTTGGTAAGAGTTATAGATTCTAACGATTGACCTATATATTTATTTTTTACTTACAATAAGAAAATGTGAAATAAATATTTTACTTATTTATTATAGCAATGAAGCGATATGTTAATTTTATCTTATTAGATTTAAGATCCATAATCTTTCATAGGATATTATCATTTTTACAATTATACTATATTTACAGATAATAACGAATTTGATATTCGTTATTTATTTAGTGTCATCGTAAATTTCTAAAACATCTGCTAAATGTTCATTGTCTCTCGGCTTTTTAAATTGTTTTCTCCTATTATTTGGTTTCTTTCTTTTAACGGGTGCTAATTTTTTAGGACCATGATCTTGCATAGATCTAATTCCTTGTTTCTCTAAATACTCATCTATTTTTTGATCATCCATTGCATCTACTGCCACAGCTCTCCATAATTTTTGAAATTCTTCATCGATAGGAAACTGCGCTGTCTTGTCGTTATAGAAAACTATTTTCTTTTTATCAAGTGGCCTCGTTATGAGTAATATTTCATTTTGTAAACTCTATAAAGAAAATTCTTACAAAATATATCGTAGATTATTAATTAAAATATATGCAGCTAACTATACCTTTAGATGCTTTTCGCAGTGTGGTAAACTTTCTTGTATATCTTCTAATAAAATCCCACCTAATCCCTTTAAATCTTGTTGTTTTAAAAGTCTCAACAAAGATTTTTTATCCTTAATTTTGTACATAGCTTTAAATGCGAATCTACCATCCTGTGTTACATCTATTTTAGGATTTTTTAACAACGCTTCTGTCTGAAGCCACGTTTTCACCTTTAATAACAACGCAGTAAATAATTTAATTCGAATAAAACATAATTCAATGTAAAATCTAATAAAACAATTTCAAATTCTTACTTTTGATCCTACATCCAGTTGATTAGTTTCATCTAAAATTTCTTCCAAAGTTAATGGATGATCATCACCGTCTTGATGCCTCGCTTTCATGTGTTTTACTATTTTTGCTAAAACACCAAACTTGTACTGCGTACTACCGGTCATGGTTTTATAGTTAACCATATCCAATTTTGGTCCAGTTGAAACCATGGATGGTTTTGGTTTCTTTTTGTGTGGATCATCTCGAATGGTATCTTTCTCTTGTTCTTTCTTTTTCTTCTCAACACTATATAATAAAATTATACATAAATTTACTTATTATTAAATTTGTAATTATATTTTGTATATAATTAATTAATATATAATATATACTATATTTTACGTATAATATTTATATTCACAATACTGTATATAACATTTATGTATAATACATAATTTATATAAAGAAAATATTTCAAATGATAGAATATAGGTTAGGAAATAAAATAAATGTTTGTACTTACGCTGGAGTAGATAGGGCTCGTTTTTTAAAGAGTTCTCGTTCCCTCAATAATGCTGGATCCATTTTATCAAAAATTTTTCCAAAAGAATCTTTAATACGTAAAAAATTCACTTATTTTTAATAATACATACACAAAAATATAACATGGGAAAGAAGGTGTACACTGCACTTAGTTTATATGACAGATCAAGAGAGCGCTCGTGTAGCCCAAACTCTCGATACCAGACGTTCGATAGTATTCGATAGGTACGCACGTGATACAACTCGATAGATTGTTGGCGCCGGATTTGTAATAATAAAACGGGAATCAATTTGAATTTGCAAGTAAGAAAATATTCATCTAATTTTTTCCAATTAATTAACAATACTTTTTTAATGACTTTATATAAATCATATTATTAGATTTTATAAAATATTCTCTTCTATAATTTGATTATTATCTTATATATCATATTATTTCATTTATTACTATATGATCACGTAATATCTAAAATAGAAGATTGCAATTTTTAAACCAATCAGTTTTATTTCCATATTGTTAATCCAGAAGATAGTGCAAAAAATTTGGTTTCATAATAATTTTAGGTAATCAAAAAATATTTTATTAATAAGAAATATAAATACATATATGTATGCATACAGTATGAGTAACTCCTACATACACGTATACACACACTCGTATATTTGATTTTCTTTATATTATAAATAAAATAATAATATACTTATAAAAATAATAAACTTATATTATAAATTATATTATAAATATATTATATAAAAATTTCTTTATATAATAATAATATATATATATATATATATATATATATATAATATTCTATCTATCTTATATATTATATTATAATAAATCTTATTTTTTACTTTTTTTATGATTCCGAGCATTGGGAGAATATAACACGAATATACATACCTAATCTTTTCATTGTGTTTACTTTTGTATCCACTTCATATTCTTCGAGGCAAGTTTATCTCTTTTTTATAGCTTAGAAAAATGTACTAGAAAGAGTGAGAGAGAGATAGCGAGTGCTAGTTAGAGGGAGGGAGAAGAAAGAATGAATAAATAAGAAGTTATAATACTCGAGTTGAGATCAAAACAATACGAATCGAAAGTTCGACACTTTCAAGGATAAACAATAACGTATTTCATTCCCCTTCCATCCTTCGACACGGTAACACCTCAGATATCACGACGTATTAGAATACTTTAATTATTTTACTTTGAATCACATCATTATTGATTTAATCTTTTATAAAATTCATTATAAGATTAAATAGTATAAAAATTGATATAATTGTAAAGTTATATTTCATTGAGTTTATTGCTACAGTTATCACGTTCTTTAGATAATTTTAAAGATTTTTATTAACAATTTGTATTAATATTACATATATACTTTATATACAATTACATGAAAGTAGTGAGACTTAATCAATTGGTATTGTATGCATTTGCATATTAAAATGCAAAGCAAGCATTATCAAAAGAATAATTGCATACTTTGATACATTTCACAAATGTTTAATAACTTTTATTTTTAATTAAGTCAATTTTCATAGTTAGTTACATTTTCTTTTTATATTTAACATTGATTCTTTATGATAAAGTATCATTTAATGTGTGTTCTGCCTTCAGAAATGTGCGTTTGTGTGTGTGTGATTCACAGAGGAAATATTGTAATATAATCTTTAGTATGTTTCAGCTTTTCAGACTTTTTATTTAATTTTATTTTATACATCGTCATCCTAAGGGTAGGATACCCATCCTGCAATCATCAAAGAAGATTAAAAGTTAGTATATTTTCCTATCATACATTTCTATGATAATTTCAATAGGTTTTTATTACGATTATGATATTAATTGTTCTTTTTCTTTGTCTGTTTCAGAAGATCATTGCAATCGTGCGTGTAGGCAATGAGATACTCGTGTGTTGCATCGTGTTAAAATAAAATATAAAAAAGTCGACAAGTAAATTCAGTGTTGATCGTCGCATGTTAAAGTTTCGTTTGCTCGGTTAAGAAACTCGCAAGTTTCTTTAATTCGGTTTAAACGTGTGCTCATCGTCACCCTAAGGGTAGGATACCCATCGTGCATTCATCAATGAAGAAAAAACGTAAGTCAATTTTTGTATTAAACATTTTTTCAATAATTATAGTAATTTTTATATAACAACGATTTATATAATCTTGTTTCTATTTGTGTTTCAGATCATCGTTGGAATAGTATTCACATTTTATTCATTAAATTCATTTAGAAATTCGTTTAACACTAGATTTGTTCACTATTGTTTTGTTCACTATTTTTTAAAAATTTATAAACATTGCTTGAATGAAAAAGTGGGTAGAGGAGAGGAATTAATATTTATGTATATTTCATTACAGTATTAAAAATTAACATATATTTAAAAAATAATATAATATTTAAGTTTTATATATATATATATATATATGTAGAAAAAAAGTTTGAAAGGTTCAAAATTTCTTAGTCCATAAATCTAGTGTTAATTGAATTAACTGCATTACATGCAGTTTTATAGTCATTTGTACATTGTCATCGTCATCCTAAGGGTAGGAGACCCATCGTGCATTCGTCGATAGTGATTTAAAGTGAGTATATTTTTGTATTGAATAATACCTCAAAAATTTTAATGCTTTTCTGTAATAGTAATGATATTAATAGTATTGTTTTTTATTTCTGTTTCAGATTGCAATCGTGCGCGAAGCAATATGTGTAGTGTTTATGGTGATATCATTAAACTGCGTGCAATGCAGTCTTTGAATGAGTTGTAGAATCAGTGATCGGGCGAGTAATAAGTTAAAATCAAACGCGAATTAGAGTCAGTGTTGTTCGTCGTATAATAAAATTTCGGTTTCGCGATAAGAAACTCATCTATAGTTTCTTATTTTCGTTTATACCGCGTTTTTAGATTCACGCGAGGTGCATCGTCATGGTGCAATAGAGCTGCATCCCATTGGAATGCATTGTAAGTATCTATTTTTATTTACATTTTATTCGATTTTATTTTATATGATTTTGTATAATATTCCAGATAACTTATCGTTTTGTTCTATTTTATTTTACAGATATAACCATGGATTCTCTTCCTTTCAAAGATGTTGGATGAATTCTTCGATGGATCTTCGATGGATTTCCAATGGACCTCCTCTTCTTCAATAGCAAATCGAGGAACTCTTTGATCATCAGACTGCAATACTTGCTACGAAGTAGGAGTGTTTTGGAGCCACCGCAGAACTTCTAATGCCAACTGTTCATGTTTCGTATATGCATTATTTTAACTCTAAAATTTCACATATATGTTATATAACGGTTGGTAACGAGTGAGTCAAAAAATTTAAAGTCTCTCCGGTGCTCAATCATGCCGAGGATGAAAGGCCCTAATCGGCACGAGTAACTGGTTGTAATTAATTAAATAAATTATTGACGAGCACATGAGTAATTTCTTTTTAGGAATTACTCATGAAAATTGTATATTTCATTATTTATTTTATTAGTTCAGGATAGGTCTTCTTGTCTCATCGATTAAATTCATTTAATTAACAGTGTATTTAATTAATTTACTTTCTTTTACATTTCGTGTTTTGTTCGAGTTAGTAGTAGTGAAATCAAGCATTAATTATTTTAATTTCGCCCAAAAAAGCATGTAATAATATCTTACATCCATTGTTTCGTATTTAATTTATTTAATAGCAACTAATTTTGATGTATCGGTATATCTATATTTTAAATAAATGAGCAAGAAGATAAACCCATTCGCGACGGATAAACTCTGGCAATTAAGTGGTGGCTTAAAGCCCAGTTCTTTAATTAGAACAGCCAACTTAATGAAAGAAGTCGTCCGAGGTTTTGAAATATATTAATTAAATATATTTAAAAATATTTATAGTCCATATTTATGAAGTAACTTGTAAGTAACTTGAGTCTTTAGTCCGCTTAGATGAAATTTTATAAAAATGTATTTATGTGTTTATATTTTAATCATATTTTTTAGATCAGGATTTTCAGCTACTAATATACTAATCCCCGTTTCTCCCCCCTATACTTTCTGCGTTCTCATCTATAAGTATGCCTAGGTGCTACACGTATGGGTGAGAAACGGTTAGTATAGGTTTAGTTTTAATTTTTTCCCATATTGGCGGCTGTTATTGGCTAGTGGTTGCACGGCGTACTTTGCACCTGTATGTGCGTATTAGGTAGTGTGCATTGTACATCGTTTCGCGATAGTTTTTAATTAATCCATCATTTAATAATAAGAGTACATCTTCTACATATCACGTGTGATATAAAAAATATGCATTTCTGTATTCTTATATTTATATTCAATATTTCTCATTTTTTTGATAATCGTTTGCATAGTAGAGTTACTGCATTTATTTGTGAAAGCTTTGATATACTTGTATATTACTAGTATGCATATTTATAAACTAGTGTATACTTGTATTTTTGCTTTAGTTTTGTATGCAATAATCATTAGCCTTGGCAGTCGATTACAGCAAAAAGTACGTATACCCATTAGCATATAAGTTTATAAAACGTGGTTGAACTAGGGTGTCGGAGGTGCCCCGGGGCATGCTCCCTAGTTTAGGCTTTTGCACCCTGGTGGTATGTGAGAGAATCGTGGAGTGAGTGGGTGGGTATGTATGTTTTTTCTTAAAATGGGTAAAAATATGGATAATAGGCAGGCAGGTAGCATACTTCTCTGAATGAATGTGAAAACTTAAATTTTAAGTAGGTAGGATCCAGGAAAGGCACTAAGCTTCTTGCTTCCACTCCGAAGTGGAAATTCTGCCTCCTGGTTTATACAGAATTGTTACAAAATTTGATCATCTCATTCTATATTATGTTTGATTTGTTAATTTATTTTGTAACTATTCTGTGATCTCTATTATGTATCATGATTCAAAGAGATTAGCAACCATTTGAAAGATTAATTTCTATTTCGATTTTACCTCGAACGAGATATAGTCGAAACAAATTAGCAAATTCTTTGATGCATTTGATACTTAGTTTTAAGTATTTCAGGATTAGCACTACGCACTATCGCGATTTYMTCKTACMRCTAGAAATATTTGATATAATTAAATATAACGAATTAATGAAATAAAAGTATTGCAAGAAAATGCATTACATTTATTGCATTATTTATTTCAATTCAATTTTATTACTCGACGTTAAAAGTGCGAAGTGTTATTAGGTCATCGAGGGAAATTATTATCTGCTTGGACATTCGATTAAATGTTCTCGTGTATGATCAATGAAATCTAAGTTCATTGATGGTCCACAAGCTAGAAAAGTGAATGGAAAGTTTAAATTTATTTTTTAATAATTGTGAGAATTAGAATGTCATATTTTGATAGTGAAAATTTTTGAATATATTTCATCATAGACTCTTATCTTTCTTGAACGTATGGGAATGTCCAAATGCAGTAAAGTAAGAAGAAAAGAAGAGGCTAATTGCCGAAGAGGCCCCCACTTAATTGTGGCTCAAGAGGGCTACTACAGGCTACTGAGTTATTTTCAAAGGCTCAACATCATGTTCGAACCTTTCGAGAATGGCTCTTTAGTCATATTTTATATTTTATTGTATTAATATATTGCTCGTCAATAATTTTGTTTTAGTTATTGCAAGTATAGATTATTAATATATTTTTCTTTTTGTTACAGGTGATCATCATTAGATTTATCATCTACTACTTTTTTTTTTATTTGAACTTTTATAATGGCTACTTTTTAAAATATTCTGCATTTCTGAAGGTACACACTTAAATATGAAATATAATTATTTACAATTATAAATAAAATTTAATAATTTGAAATATTTTTGAAGAGATGTTTGTTTAATAATCCAATATTTGATTAATGAAAATATTATACTTTTGTCATTTTATAATTTTATTTTTCTTCGCAAATGATCGCAAGAGAATTTGGGGGTGGGATACTTTCGAGAATGGCTCGTATTTTTGGACAATTTCACAAACTTCCGGACTTAAGCTGTCATTGGTAAACACATATAAAGGGTCTTGACCTAATCTAAAGTTTCTTCTTTGCAAGAAGCGACTCTATGCTTCGCTTTTTCTTTCTCACGTCTTCAACTCTTTTACTCACTGCAAAGGGATAGAAAAGTTCACGCGTTTCTATAATGGTAGAGAAGGGTAGAATAGCAAAAAGGAATATGCTAAGGACTTAAGCACGTTCTTTTCTTATACGTTTAGAAGGATTCTTGTTACGTTATTGCAATTTTAATCCAGTTTTTATGACCAATGACTAGGTCAAAAGGCAATTGCTTTTATTTAAAATAAAAACAAACGAACAAGTTTTTCTATTTTTTTTATTTTTTAGATAAAATCAAATAAAAATTTTTCGACGTGAGTAATAATTAAATTAATTAATTATTTGAATTTTTTTTTTCACATGTATCTTTTGAAATTGTAATTTACAAACTATCAAAGCATTAGTTATGACTTTTCAATCGTTGAGTAAGTTTATCGGAAGAATTGAACGTGTTTAGTGTTCGATCATTCGATATAGGGTTTTCGTGGATATCATCGATGACAGGTGGACCGAGGTTGAAGTATCCGAGATGTATCCTCGGATGCAAAGTATCTCCGAAAGGATCGCTGCCGTGGTGTGCCTCTCGTAACATGCGCGTTAAGCATACGCTTCTACCTCGAACCGATGTGGCAGTGTGGATGGGGGTGCTGGCTGTGGTGGTAGCTACGGTGGCGGTAGTAGTAGTAGTGTAATAATAATAGTAGTAGTTGTAGTGGTAGTGGTGGAAATGGTAGTAGTGGTGGTGGTGGTAGTGGGCATTAGGGGCTTCAGAAAAGAGGGGTAGTTTCTAGCGTCGGACACGAGTCGCGTTCTCATCTCTCTTGTTCTTTCCAAATATTTTTTTGTTCTTTTTTTTCCATATATATATTTTTTCTAATAAACGAACAATTATTTGATCCCTAATAACTTGGAAATATTATTAGATCGGTTATAATAAATGATATTCCAATGATTTTTTTCAAGATATCGGTATACTCGTATTTGCTTGTTCTTTAGTTCAATTATACATCTTACCTAACCGAATAGCTAATTTATTTAATAATATAACTCTTATATAACAAATATGAAATTATTGATAGTTGAAAACAAATAAAGAAAAGAAAGTTTATTGAAAAAAATCATTTTTGATCGAAGGAACGAATATAAAGGGTAGAATCGAACCCGTCGCTAGGTAGCACCGTGCCAATGACGCTGCGATGAAGGGGGGAAGAGGGGAATAGAGTATATGGAAGAGGTGAAGGAGGAGGATGAGAAGAAGAGAGAAGAGGAGAGCGAACGACGGTGGGGTCGGCTGCTGGATACGCGATGGCCCGATGGGGTGGGTCGGTGGTGCTCGTTTAAGAGAGAAAGAGACGAGTATAGAGAGAAAGAGAGTGAGAAAGAGAGAGAGAGAGAGATGAAGGGAAAGAGGGTGGAATAGAGAGAGAGTAGGGATGCTGGGGCGGTTCAAGCGAGAGCGAGTTGACGCAAAGTAGCGTACGTCAGTTTGTGTCAGACAACGGAGCACGGAAGATGCTCCCGGTTGTTCGCGAAACGGATGGACCATCCTCGGCACCGAGGTCTCGACGTCGTCGACGTGTTCGCGCGACGACGAAGTCGAATCCGCGTCGTCGAGGTACCGCCTTTTCTTCTTCTTCTTCTTCAACATCATCTTCTACATCATCTTCTACGTCATCATCTTCGTTATCTTCTTCTTATTCTTCTTATTTTTCTTCTTCGTTATCTACCTTATCATCCTTTACCTTATCCAAGTTCGTTAAATCATCGTTTTACTTTGATTTTCGCGAGCTACTTCACGAAAGGAAAAATTCAGATAACGAGATGAAAAACGAAGAAATTTGTATTCGGGGTTGGAACGGAAAAAGAGCAAGTGGTATCGTTAGACCAGTCAGTACCAGCACCCTCATGACAACTGCCTTGACTCTTCTCTTGATTCTACTACCAGCTGCATTTCCGGATAAGATCAACATAGGTGAGTGTGATGATGTTTTCGTGATCGTCAAATAGGTGTGTAAGGTGTTAGAAACGTTTTATAAAGAATGATTTTAATTAACTATGACAATAAATATCATCAACGATAATGAACGTCAACGTAATGAAGATTATTTTCAACTTGGACAGATATTATTATTCTTTTTTTTTTCCTCTTGTTTATCTAGTTTTGTTTTTTAAGGGTGTTAAAGCTCTAACTATTCTAATTTACTGACACAAGAGACCAAGTTGCTCCTCGTTGACAGTAAATCTAGTGTTTTTTTCGTTTAAAAGAAAGTGGCCCTTTTTAGAAAATAAAAAAGAGATAAAAGAGTAAGGTCGTTTTAGAAACGTCTAAATAATCGTCAGCTAAAAAGTAAGAACAGACTAACAAACGAAGTGAAGAATGTTTGCTTACTTTTACTTCTAATAAAGAATAGATAACAGTAGGTGACAGGTAGTGTGTTGACTGAGCTATTGTAAAGATACCCTTACACAATTTTCATTACCATTATATTACCATTTTCACTGCTTCATTATCGGTACGATAAACTCAAAGAAAATGTTTCATGCGTTAAAGTTGGCGCGACGTGTAAGCAAACAATATATGCATGGTTGAATGAACGCGTGCACCACGAGAGAGAGAGAGAGAAAGAGAGAAAGAGACAGAATGTATAAAATCTTTCTTAGAAATTTCATTCATCATCCCCAATCCTTGAACATTAAAATGCAAATTTTTTTCAGAGATAAGAAATAAAAATCATCCACTTTTTTATTTCCACATCTACTATAGTGAATAGAAATAAAAAGTTAAATCACGCGTTGCAATATTTATTCTCGTTCATGCGTGTATACACGTTAACGTTGTTGATTCGAATGAGGTCAAGAACCATAGGATTATTATCAGATTTTGATTTCGAACAGCTAGTGGTTGAAAGTGGGTGGTTACAGAGAGAAAGAGAGAGAGAGAGAGAGAGAGAGAGAGAGAGAAAGGACTTAAAGAAAATAAAACAAACGCTTCACGTCACCGATAATTGTTCTAACTAACTTTTTAACGATCTAACGAAAATGAATATTTCTCGTTTAAACGCATCTTTTCAATACAATCAAGCATTTGAGGATCATCGTCCTAGTTCGCGTGCATCGTTTCGAAAGTGTAGAAGAAGTTAAGAATCGCTGACCGAAATACACGGTATCGTGCATCTGAGTAAAAAAAAAAAAGTGGAAAAAAGAATGTGATATTCGGTTAAAAGGCTCTTGGATTACCATCAATGCGCAGGTTTCAGCGTTGTAACGCCAGAAGTTGCGGGAAATGAGAGAAAGAGAAAGAGAAAGAGAAAGAGAAAGAGAAAGAGAAAGAGAAAGAGAAAAAAAGAGAAAAAGAGTGAGAAAGAAAGAAGAAAGAAAGAAAGAAAGAAAAAAAGAATGAAAGAGAGGAGCAGAAGGTGTAGGTAGTGTACGCGTTGAGCGACGAGCGAATGATGAATGCCCATAGAAATGACGATGTCTCTCTCGCACTTGCTATCCTGGAATATGTAGATGAAGAAGTGACTGGTAGGTAGGTAAGTCGAGGAAAAGACGAAGAGCCGACCGAAAGGTCGTGCGGTAGATGAGGAGGAAAGAGGAAGCTGGAAAGATAGATAAATGGAAAGAGAGAAAGACCGGTAGGAGGGAGGGTGGGTAGGTTAGGTTGTAGTGGGGTAGAAATGAGAAGGTTCGTTGCCTCACCAACTCGCGAACCCCATTCGCATCCTTTGCCTGACTTTCTTCGTTTCTCGACTACCCTTCTTTCTCTTATTTCTTTTTTTCTTCTTTCTTTTTCTTTTTTTTTTCTTTACCCCTTTTCTTCATGCGCGCCCATCGTAAAGTAAACTCGAAAGGTTTTCGCTCGTTTCTCGATTTGCAATAAAAGACGCGCGTTTAGACAATAGACGAGAATAGCGAAGAAATTTTGTCGAGGTTTGATCGGTAAAGCATAATTTAATTAGCTCCCATAGCCCTCGGTTTTCATTCTAATCTACTCCAATTTCGATTGGAAGGAGGTAAATCATTTTATTACGTTTTAGGCTGGAATTAGAGGAAACTGAGGAGTGGATAGAGTGGGATTGGGATTAGGGTTAATCGTAGGAGATCTTTGGCGAAATGCATTTTTTATTTCATCGAGTGTAGGGGATTGGGGACGATTAACGAATTCGTTTGGGAGCTTACGGATTTTTCATGGGTACCAAATTTAACTACGATGAAAATTCTCATGGAAATTCGAATAAGATACATATGTAAGTAGGTACTTACACTAATAGGTACTTACCTACATACTTCTATGTATGTGTATGTGTATGTGTAGGTGTAGTATCATATCCAGTATACAGTAATAGAAGAGCTTGCTTGCGTGTGTCTCCGTATATCTTCTCTTCGAAGCTTGCTCGTTGACTCACGAACGAAGTGAGTAACGTCGGCATGTGCCGCCTTTGTAATAGAAGGAAGGGCATTTGCCACTCAAGCCGACTTGCCGTTGGCCTAATACGATTAATAGCATGACGTTAACAGACAAGGAAGATATCTTTTCTCTCTCTCTCTCACTCTCTCTCTCTTCCATTTACTGTAAATGCCATCGAAGAATTTGTCGTTCGCTGGTAGAGACCAGCAGGTAGCGAGAGACGAAATCGAATTTTCGTTTAGTTGGAATGGGCGACTGGAAAACGCGAGACACACAGTCTTAAGAGAGAGAGAGAGAGAGAGAGAGAAAGAAAGAGAGAGATGAAGGAAGAAGGATGATGAGGGTAGAAGGAAGAGAAGGGTCGTTAAATTCTCTCGCGTTACGATCGATAACTTCGCCCTTCGGTCGCTACAAACGTCCTACAAAAATCAGACAATTGACTTTTTTCGATTTCTCCAAAAAAAAATCGAATTGTTCGTTTATAGATTTTGAATTTACCCGCTTATCTCGTTCAATACAATCTCTCGAGCGCGTTTTTCAAACAGAATAGAACGTTGAGTAGAAACGAGTTGTTGGATTGGTTAACAAGGATATTTTCAAGCGGTAACTTTTTGTTATTCTCCCTAACATTTCGAATTGACGAAATGTTTTTTTTCTTTTTTTAATCCGTTATCGAATAACATAAAACATTACATCTCAGTTCATCGTAGAAAATAATCGAATCTGCGTAAAGCTTTTAAGTAACATTTATACTTTATTGAACGAGAAATGTTTTCACTTGATGGACATATATATATATATATAGATACAATGTAAAACGATTAAACGTTTCCGTTTAACGTTATTAAATATAGGTATATATATAATATTCCTTTGTAAAAAAAAAATTACTTGTATAAAAGAAAAATTATATTAACAATAATGTTATTTTGCTTGTCCATCGAGTGAAAACCTTTCTCGTTCAATAAAGTTACTTAAAAGCTTTACGCAGAATCGATTATTTTCGACGATGAACTGAGATGTAATGTTTTATGTTATTCAAAAACGGATATATATATACATAATTTTAATTTAAAAATAAACTAAATAAGTTTTGTCAAGACCCAATGTGGTACCAATGGTGGATTAAACGTATAGAAAAAAATTCTTTTTTATTATACTTTCCAAAAAATGTTTAAATATTTTTTTAAATCGTAGGATTTAACGTCGACATATATATATCGAAGCACGCCGGAATGTCTGCTGTCTCGAGCCCGGTGCATCCAACCGCCAATTTATTGTTCGCATAATCGTGCGCAATCGGGACCGCGTTATTCGGCGTTCGTGTAATGCGAGAGCGAACCGCCTATGTTTCTATAATTGATGCATTGCCCCATACCCTATTAGAATGACAAAACCGCTGGCTCGGTATACGGTCATCGACGCGTATTCTACTAGCATTGCGTTATGAGCAAGGGTTGCGAGGGTTGCGAGAATTCACACATATATACATAAACATACATATACGAGCGTGATCCTTCTCATGTGATAATACGTACCATACCTAAAGGATATTTGCTACCGAAACCTAAACTATTCTCTTCAAAATCAACTAGTCAACCTATCAATGCACGAAACAAGCATCCAATTTTTATTACAAATAAACGTACAAATAAATGATATTAAAAAGAATTTCAAATATTAAATTAATTATAAATAAATTGATTAATTTATGATTTATAATTATATCGCGTCATTACTTTTGTTTAATATAATAGGAATTTTAATTGTTTTCTTCATTTTATAATATTTTCTTGAAAGATCGTTTTCACGAGATCGAAGAAGGTTTCCTTTTCTTTTTCTTTTTGTTTGTTTTGTATTATATTTTTCGATGAGTTACATGAAAACGGATCGAATTTATTCGAATATCAATTTCCACGTGAAACCTTTGGAATATTTAAAGGTTCGGTTTCGCAATGTTAGGAGTACTTTGAGATTCTGGGGCTGTTGCTTTTCTCGTAAGAGAAAAAGGAGAAAGATGGCAAAAGCTCGCGTATCTATACGTACGTAAGTATGTATATCGTTTCGAATATCTTCTAAACATGGAACGTCTATGTCGATGGAAATGCGAATATCCAAACGCACATTATAGAACAGTATCATCTTGCTTGAAATAGTGTTTGTATCTTTACGTATGCGTATACATACTCCTGCGACACGTTTTATTGCAACCCATTGAGTACCGTGATCGATGTAGATATATCAGATATTTCATAGGAATAACAAAAAGATAAAAATGAAAAAGAAAACGAAAAGAACAAGAAACATAACGATTATTTAATTTGCAAATAATCACAAGACAATAAATTCAATATTTTCTATAAATTTGACATTAGAAAAATTATATTCCAATTTTTTTTTTTTTATCCGATTTTTTGTTCTCCTAAGACTCTACTTTTGTCCTATTTGCACTTTTATACAATTATTTCTCTTTGATCGTTCGACTATCGTAAAACTTTCCATAAAAGGTAGTAGATATGCATTCGCCACACGAACGTGGGCTTGAAAGTAACGTGGGTAATGAA